ACTATTTACCGTTTAACAGGCACCAATCACCATATCATACGACTTTTAAGTTTAAAAAACTAGTGATTTTCAATAAAATTGCTGTTAAACGAAAGTATTTAAAATGTTTATTTTTAAGTAAAAGGTATTTTGATTATTTTTATATCATACACTTTACCCAATTAACATACTCTTCTGAAGTCGACCATAGTCACTGGCTTTTAATTCATGAAAAGTGCTTGAAATTAATTAAAACTTCAAACGTAACAAATTATTATTTCAACTAAAATCTGCGTACAATACCATATAAAACATTATTTACTCATAGAATATGGAAAATACTTTATAAAGACATCCATATAGAATAAATTTATGAAAAATTACTAATTTTTATAACATTCTTCAGCCTTTCCATCTCCTTCTCTACAAGTGTTCTAGCCTTTTCATATCCAACCATTTCATCGTAGTACTTCAACCCGAGCCATACAAAACGTTCGATAATTTTAGTCAAACAGGTCTCAAACTTCGTTCTATCTACGCTTATACAGCACAGTTTTATAAATTCCTCCACAATTTCATCGTCCTTTGAATCTATTGCATTCTGATACAGTGCCAACACATTTTGTGATGATGGTGTTATGTAGAACTGCTTTAAAAGAGCCTCGTGTTTTGAACGAAATGTCGAGGTACGTTCAGCCATGTAGGGATGTTAAAAATTTATTGCAATAATGAATGTATTCAATGATCGTTTAGAAAGTGTTTACTCCATAAAATATATTATTAGTAGAAGAGTATTTAATAGTTAGTTACTGTAAAAATAGTTTAAACTATATTTCTAGTTTAAAGCATTCAAATAACAACGGTCATAGTTTACACGAAGAGTATCGTGTGATGTGTAAGAGTTTCCCTTTGAAATGAAAAATGTTTGCTTAAAAGATGTGGTCCATAAAACAAAGGCTGGCAGTCATATTCAGTCCTAGAAGAGTGTGTTGAATTAAATGAAGTGTGCAGTGGTGATAATTAAACGTACTTTTATAAAAAAGTTAAAAGATTTTTCTGATAAAAAGATCTTAATTCGTGTATTCACAGCAAATATAAAACTATTTATTATATGAGTAATACGATATTCCTATAATCAGCTTATTAATATGAGATTAATTTTAAAAAAGCATCTAAAACGTGAGAAGCTCCAGACGATCTTTTCTAACAAAAATATTTTACAAACAGTACGATACATTCATCCATACTAAAACATCTCAAACACCACATTTGTGTTATTTAAGAACGGTAAGATACACTCATCCAATAATAAAACATCTTGAAAATGGTATTACCATTACAATAAAATTTAGCGTGATTAACAATAATACCATAAACGCGTGTATTAACCATAATATCATGAACACGTGTATTAATAATACTATCATGAACTGTACACAGCATAATTATTACCATGTTACAATTATTAATCCATTCTTAACATGTAAAATCATCCTTTATAATATTATACTTTTAACATTACATTTATTCAATTTATTCTACCAAAGTAAATAATTACACACAGATAATCATCTTTACAGCCGTAATTTTTATTCTTAAACTTTTATCTTAGTGATCAACCGTTACCATCTGTATATACGGTGATTATAATATTTTGCTATATTAAAACATATGAGTTACGTATAACACCACATAAGTTTAAGTAACTAAATCTGTCGCCGTTAGCAGCATTGTGGCGCAGTGGTTAGCGTGCTGGGCTCATAACCCAGAGGTCAGTGGTTCGAATCCATTCAATGCTACGTTTTTATAACAATCATTTTTTGAAGGGTTAAACAACATTTAGTACATTCATAGGTTAATACTGCCATTGTTACCATATTAGTTTATATTTATATTAAATACACTCATTTATAAGTTATATCTTCTGAATGTAGAACGTATCAATCTATTCCCTTACGTTCTCTTGGACAGGAAATGATTTATTTAACAATGGTAATAATACATTCTTTATCTTTTAATTATTCTCTTGTTAATTTTGTATTCATTACTATGATATTTTTATTACTATGATATTTTTATTACGGTGATATTTTTATTACTATGATAGTTCTCTTTGTTGGAATGCATTACTTGTAAGGCATAAATACCACAATCTTCTTACACCGTTAATACTAATACTATTCAATCTCTATCCAATACTAATACTATTCAATACCAAACCATACACCAATAATACTGTTCAATATTATTAAACCCTTCTAACCCTACCATCACTATACCCGTCAATATTCCTGCCCCTTATGTTTTTTTATCCACAAAGAATAAAATTTAAATTTCCACGCATAAAAGTGGCAGAACACGAAATCTTCATTCCACAGACACTCGACTCCCTAAACATTCCAATACAAGGCGGCCTGCAAGACACGATGCTAGGCCCACAGCCACACGAGACACAGTGCGCCAAATGCCATCTAAACTACTTCGCATGCCCAGGCCACTTCGGCGAGATAGCACTGCAAACGATGATAATCAATCCTCTGCTATTCAAGGACCTGTTCATGATCGTTCGTCTGGGCTGCACAAAATGCCACCGCTTTAGAATACCAACGAATGCACGTGAGCACGTGCTAAAAAATACGGGTGAACGGTTGGTAGCAGCAATGAAAGAAAACGTGGAGGACCGCTGTCCGTACTGCACCAGCCGCAGCCGTCTCAGCAAGCTTAATCTCAAGATTGTGAGTGGTACGCAGTATGTGCAGCCGTTCAGGGTGTACCGCATTGTGCGTGCTCTCTTTGAGAACGAGCGTTCGTTCTTTGAGCGCATGCGCGTTGATTATAAGGCGTTCTTTATGCATAAAGTGTTTGTGCTGCCGAATAAATTTAGACCGCTCAACCGCATGAATGATAAAATATTTGAGAGCGCGCATAATATTCATTTATCAAGGATTGTTAAGATTAATCAGGTGCTTAAGGATGAGATAGAGAGGCTGAGGATGGCAGATGAGGAGGGTAAAAGGGTTAAGGGCTGTCTAGAGGGGGAGAAGGTTGAGGGCTATGTAGAAGAAGAGAAGAGTGAGAATAGAATTAAGGGCTATGTAGAGGAGGAGAGGAAGATTAAAGAAGAGAATAAAATTAAGGGCCGTCTAGAAGAAGAGAGGACTGAGAATAAACTAAAGAGTGAAGACGTAAAAAGGGTTAAGGGCCGTCTAGAAGAAGAAAATAAAATTAAGGGCCGTGTAGAAGAAGAGAGGACTGGGAATAAACTAAAGAACAAAGAAAGACCGGCCTGTAAAAACGAACAGGGCATTAATGCAGGGCACGGCACGAGAGACAAGCAAAACGTTGATAAAAAACAAAAAATAGAAAAAGACAACGGCGTAAATGCGTACATAGACGAGGATCTGCTGCACATACTTGACCGGGCTGATGATCACAGCGTGTCCGTGCTGAACGGCCTCATCAATGCATTGCAATGCGCCGTGCAGTATTACTTCGACAGCACGGAGTACCCGAGCAAGAGAAAACCGCCCGGTTTTAAACAGGCGCTCGAGAAGAAGGAGGGCCTGTTCAGGCAGAACATGATGGGAAAGCGCGTTAATTACACGGCACGCACGGTGATATCACCCGACCCGTACATCGCAACGGACGAGATAGGCATACCGATGCACATCGCGTGCAGGCTCACCTTCCCAGAGCGCGTCACGCCGTTTAACAGGCGGCGCCTTGAGCGCTGTGTGATCAACGGCCCCGTATTTCCTGGCGCGGAGTGCATCGTAGAGAATGGCGTAAAGCGCAGCCTCAAGTACGTGAAGAACCGGCGGGCAGTCGCCAAGACACTGCTCAAGAACAGCACAGTCGTGCACCGGCACATGCAGCACGGCGACATGGTGCTGGTGAACCGCCAGCCCACACTGCACAAGCCCTCGCTGATGTCGCACCGCGTGCGCATCCTGAACGATAAGACGATACGCATGCACTACGTGAACTGCAACAGCTACAACGCCGACTTTGATGGCGATGAGATGAACATTCATCTAGCGCAGGGCCTGATGGCACGTGCCGAGAATGCGTACCTGAGCAGCACACACGAGAACTACGCGCTGAACGGCAAGCCGGTGCGTGGCCTGGTGCAGGACTACGTGGTGAGCATGTTCAGCATCACGTTAAAGGACCGTTTCTTCAGCCGAGCGGAGATCAACGAGCTGCTGATCGCATCACGTAAACTTAATTTTACCATTACGAGCGCAGCCATACTGCGCCCTAAGCAGTTGTACACCGGCAAGCAGCTCATCGCCATGCTGCTGTCAGCATACGATCTCCGAATAAATTACGAACACGCCAACAAGATTAGCACGTTGTACTGGAAGGAGCACCGTGAGGAGAGCACCGTACGTTTTCATAATGGTTATTACGTGCACGGCGTTCTTGATAAGAGTGAGGTTGGTCCTTCTAAGAACGGCCTTGTGCATTGCATAGGGATGCTTAAAGGATATTTTGTTTGTAATGATGTTCTTACTGCCTTAGGTAGGATGGTGAGCAGGTACTTGGTATGTTATGGGCAGCCTTTGGGGATAAGCGATTTTGTGTTGGGGAGGGTGTATGAGGAGGCTAGGGCACGTATTTTTAGGGAGGGGGTTAAACGGGGAGATAAGGTATTACGAGATAATATGGGTGATGATTGTGATAAGGATGAAGGTTGTGATAGTATGGGTAGAGGTGAAGATTGTGATGGTATGGGTAGGAGTGATGATTGTGATGGTAGGGGTAAGGATAGTGTTACTGATAAGGGTAGTAATAACTTTAATATTAGTAACCCTATTAATACCACCAATAATATTTACCCTATTACTACTAACCTTACTAACCCTTATAGTACACCCATGGTGGTAATACCTAAGGTAACACTAAGTAAGAACGAAAGAATAAACTTAGACAATACAATCAAGAAAGAAATGCACACCGTAACATCACAGGTAAGCGATCTACTCATCAAGGGCATAGAAACACCTTTTCCATCAAACAAGATGGCAAACATAATACTATCAGGTGCTAAGGGCAGCATAGTAAACTTCTCACAGATCAGCGGTCTACTTGGTCAGCAAAGCTTAGAGGGTGGCAGAGTGCCTCTGATGAGCAACGGCCGTTCGTTATGCTCATTCCTTAAGAGCAGTGTACTATCGGGTGGTTTTATTCTTGACCGGTTCTTAACCGGTCTATCACTTAGCTCATTCTTTTTTCACTGCCAGGCTGGTAGAGAAGGTCTTATTGATACGGCTGTAAAGACGAGTAGGAGTGGTTACTTGCAGAGGTGTATTGTTAAGATGATGGAGGGTACGGTTGTAGAGTATGATATGAGTGTGAGGGATGGTATGTTGATACAGTATGTGTATGGGGAGGATGGTAAGGATCCTAATAGGATGGTTAATGAACGATTTATGACGATGAACGGGGGTCTTATTAGGGATGGTAGTAATGATAAGGATCGTTGTAGGGGTAGTAATGATAAGAATAGAGACGATGATAGGGGCGATGATAAGGATAAAAATAAGGATAAAGATACTAATATTAATACTAATACCAATGCTAATACAAACCCTATTAATACAAACTATATAAACCAACGAATACATCCCGGTGAAAGTGTTGGTATGATTGCTGCTCAGGCAATAGGTGAACCATCAACACAGATGACCCTAAACACCTTTCACCTTGCAGGCTGTGCAACGAATGTAACACTGGGAATGCCCCGTCTAAAGGAAATACTTATGATTGGTAATAAGAGCATAAATACGGTGATAAAGGGTAAGATAACGAACAGAATTACGTTTGATCCTAGTACGGTGCTTCTTAAGGATGCACTGTTCTATTACAGGGTGGTAGAACGGAATGAAACGGATGTATTGTTTGTTTTGAATAGGAGTGTTGGTAATGATACGGTGATACGGTTTAAGAGGATGTTTTTAAAGGAGGTTAATAGGTGTATGGGGAAGGGTGCTGCGGTACACGAGATGATTAACAATAATAAGGATGGGGATAGTAATGATGGGGATGGAAGAAATTATGAT